CAGACTGGAGGGGTGCTGATAATATTCCAGTCACAGGGAGAATATTAGCAGAGTGTGTAGCCCAGAGGGCTGTGCTGGTTAATTTCACCAAGATTTTGCACATATGTTCGTGCACGCACACACACACACACACACATCTCACTGTGCCTTGGAGGATACATCTGTCTTAGCATTTATCAATGGTTATTATGTTTGCTTGTCTGTCCCTGGGTGGTGAGCTCCTTGTGGGTAGGGACTGGTGGTCAGCAGGCTTTCAGTAATATGAATGAGTGACTAGATGAAACATGTCAGCAGTGCTGGTAAAAAAAAATTTGAAGTGTTGGCATGCCTTATAGTGATCTTATGAAACTTTTTCATCTAATTTTTTTGTATTGTTAACACTGATTAATATGACAGCTTATAGTGCCTTGCTCAAGAGTAGGTCGTCATAAATTTTGTTAAATGCGTATTGCTCACACTATAGTTTCTTTTTGCTGAGGAGCTGAAAATTTTCAGATGAAACTTCTGATCCGTAGAATAAGGTACAATGGTGCTTTAAACAATGATTCCTCTGGGAATGGACCTCCTTAAATTAGAGTTTGTTAGAAAAACCAAACAAAATAATGGTATGGCATAAACTTCATAAATCTTGTGAGAGGAGCTAGACATACTGGGTATAACAGAAGGGCTTCTAGGCCCAACTTCTTTTTCCCTTAGGAGCTGTGGGTAGTGGGCGACTCTGGTCAACATTGGCTCTGATCCTTGGACTCCCATTCCTTGGTCCTTTCCAGAAGATGACCCTCTTCTCCATTCCCTTCCCTCTTTCCTTTCAAAACAGGGAAGACTTCGCTTTTAGCTGTTTACACTTACTGAATAAAGAGACCGATTGACTGATTTTCCCTTATTAATTTATTAGTTTCATTCTAGCTATTGACCCAGCATTTGCCAACCTTACAAGGGGAAATTTACAAATAGGTAAGGGAGATTTATTCAGTTGTTCATTCATGTATTCATTTGGAGGGGAAGCTCAGGTTACCCTGAAATAATAAAATAATATATCCATGGTTTTTCTTGCCCAGATGAGGTGAGCTTCACACTTCCTCCCCCATCCTAGAAAAACTGGGGGCCCTTGTTTGACTGTGGCTCTAGAGGCCTCTTCCTGGGAATTGCCAGAATGGAGAAGACACTAGCTGTGTCGCTGCCCTCAGGTTTCTTTATTGTGACTCAGCAGGGCTTATCTCTGCCCCTTGTCCTCTCCTTTTTCACTGTCCCCAGGTTGATGAGCTTCCCTTTCTGCTCTTCTACTCTGAGTCCAAGAGTACTCAGCTCTTCTGCTGAGTAGAAGAGCTTCTCTACTACTCTGCTCTCCTGCCTCGGTTCCAAGCTGCCCAAGTGTTTATTTTATACTTTCTAGCATATTTGACTTATTTCAATTGATTTTTGTATTTCAGTATTTCCCTCTGGCTAATGATCTGGCTTGTAAATATGTTTCCATTTTCACCACCTCGGTGAGGAAGATTCTTACAAAGAAGCATGTTGCCGGAAGGTGTTTTCTGTATTCGTGGTGCTTTGTTATACCTGAGTCAGTGATAACCTAGCATGGTGTGAGCAACTGTGACCAATTTTTTCAGTGCTGTTGACATTTTCAGAAATGTATTTAGCTTGTTAGAAAACTATATCTATATATAAAATATATAAAACTATATGATTATATGTACATATATATTCTTAGAACTGTAAGCACTATGAGGAAAGGATATATAAAATGACCTTAAGATAGAGTCTGTTGGGTTTATATTTGTCTGTGACAATACGACTTTTTAAGACCTGTGCAAAGTTTTTGACTGAAATTCTTGGTGTGGCTTAAAAACCATGCCTCCTTTGGTGGGCTGTAAAAACTGGCCCATTGAGCTTCAAGATATTGTGAGGTGAGAAACCCTCTGGGTTTAGATTGCTTGTTTTTCTTCTACCCTTAACCTGGAACTGTGGCCCAGATACAGAGAGGTCAACCTCTTTCATTGTAGCTATTTGATGCTCTCATAGCAACCTGTCTCTTTGTGGGACAGTAAAGGGGAGTGGGGACTAGGTCCTCTTCCATTTTTCCATCCTCTACTGTTCCAGGTCCCAAACTGGCTTTTTGGAAATATGACCCCCTTGAATAAAGGGGGACAAGAATTACCAGGGCCTGATCTCACTGTTGGGAAACAAGTGGGCCCCTGAAAGCGTAGGACATTGTCATTAAACATTTCATCTTACTCGTGGTGCTTGGTAATTTCTCCAGTTATTTTAAATAGTTTTTCTATTTATTTATATTCCTTTAGCTGTTTAATAGTTTTATTTATTTATTTATTTATTTATTTATTTATTTATTTATTTATTAATCTTGATCAGTGCTATCTGAGCCAAAATGATGGAAATGTTCAGTGTCTTCATTCTCCAGTTTGTTAGCCATTGACTTTTTATCATGTGGCTTTTTAACTCTTGAGATGGGCTAATATGATGGGAGAGCTAAAATTTTAATTTACTTAATTTTAAATCTAAATAGCCACATGTGCCCAGTGGCTACCATGTTGGAGAGTACAGATCAACTTAAGGACAAAGTCTGTATTTGGTTGACTTTTTCTTATATTGTTGGATTATACTGATGTATATTCATGGTGTTTGGTGAAATAGGTGTGTTTGTTAACCATGTTGCTACACATAACTAACCAAGCTGTGTTAGAAACTGTACAGCTTTGAGTTAGACATTGAAGTTGGCTATAATGGTTAGTAAGAAACTGGAATTAGATAACCTGGATTCTTTATGCTTTCCTGAATTTTTTTACAAAGTGATTTAAACAAGCTGAAATAATTATAACTAAAAATTCCAGATTCACCTTAAAATTTAATGTGTCAATATTCATGTTCAAGAAGGAAAAAAACAAAGTATATTAGTCAAGAGTTGCTTCCAATAACCCAAGGACAAGGAAATTTCTGTGGGAGAAATAGGGCTGCCTTAATCAGTGCTGGCGGGTGCTTCTTTGTGCAGTCTTTTCATTTTGGTTCTTGTGCATGGATTACTGTCAAGTCTTGAACTGTTAAGTCATCAGGTGTTACAGGCATATTTCATTTTGGATTCACGAGTATTTTGTTTATACTTAGAACACAGCATCACACTGGGGGCTTTAGAAGTAAGCCAAGCACCTTTAACTTCAAATTGTTACAGCTTTCCTTTTTTGGCAACTCTGTTCTTACTCTCATGAAGCCACTGTGCAGGGACAGCTAACTGTGGTGTTACCTTGAATATAAGGTCCAAAATATTATCAGCTGGTTTAACATGGATAAAATACATACGTTTAGTACTCTTTCCTGAAGTAAGGCAAGTGGGTATTGGCAGATTTGATGTAGTGTAGTGGCATGTCTGTGATAGTGTAATTTGGGTAGCTGAAAAAGATCAGATGAATCCTTCAAAATAACGTTCTTTTGGGGATGCTTTTTTTTTTTTGAAATGTGTTGATATTTAGTAAACTTATAGCCCAGGCTAAATTGAATTTGGGCATCAATGAGCAAAATATTTATAATGAAGACTCATTTATTGAAGTCTGATATTATGTGGAGGACGTTCTCCTAAGCATATTAGGTATGAGCAAAGGCCCTGAGTGAGGAGCTTACACTGTCATTGATCAGGTAGGTTCTGATTCACAGTATATGCTAGTACGTGTCATAGGCCAAAAGAGTGGCTCAGATGGGAAGTTTTGGGAACTTTGAGGCAAGGGTGGTCAGTGTTCCCTGAGGGTGACTGGAAAGGCTTTATGGAGAAGGTAGGGCTTGAACTGGGTTTTGAGAAAGCCAAAGAGTGGTAGAAAGAGAAAAGGAGGGCATTCCAGGCAAGGACACCAATATGAGAGGCTGGGATTAAAAATATGTATGGAGTATCTGGGGACGAGGCATGGACATATTTGCTGGAATGAAGATTCCACATGGGGCCTATTAGAAGAGAAGATCAGCCTGGAAACTTGGGGTGTGATGGGTAGAGCTTTGATTTCTGAGCCAAGGAATTGTCCTGAAGGGAGTAAAGAGCCATTAAACATTTTTGAACAGTGGGAGGATATGTGAGAAGTGAGATTTTATGAAGATTAATTTCTCGAGTGGAATACAGATCAGTTGGGCAGGAGAGAGAGAGAATTGAAGCACTAAAGATGTGAGATGAAGATCTGGACTTCTGATGCTAAAGCAGAAACAGAAAAGGAAGAGGTGACTTAGAGTAGTAGCTTCTGTGTCTGAGTGACTGGGAGAAGCAAACTGTTTCCAGTCTGGAGGAAAAACGGACTGAGTTATAGACAATCTGAGTTCCAGGTGATGGAAGGGAGCAGATGCGAAGTAGATGGGAGATCCAGCAGACAGTTGAAGATGGAAAAGACTGACGCTGGGTCTCAGGGTAGGAGCTGTATGTTTTCCATAGTCTTATCGTTTAATTCACTACCACAGATGATCTGCAGGCTGATGTCTGTATCCTGGAGAAGTGAAGGGATGGAGAGAGGGAGACGAGTCAGTGTGTTGCATGAAACAGAAAGTTCAAGGAGAATGAAACAGAAAAAAAGACCACTGGCTCTAAAATACTTAACTGAGAGTGAGGTGTGAGTGGAATAGTTAGAATTGGAACTTAAGAGGACAGGAGCTTTATAACTAAGGAAGTGACAACTAAAACCAGGGCGTGTAGGCCACCTATGTGTTTTGTTTATGTTGGTTCTTTCATTGCCTGCTTTTCAGTCCTTTTACTTCATGCCCTGGGAGGGAGATAAAAGGAGGTAGAACTTAAAACTGTCCAAATAGTTCCCCATTGAGAGACTGGTTATAGTAACTGGAGGGCACTGGCAGGGAGAAACCATTTGTCATTTGGATTGCTATGTATCAATTATATACTGACCCTTATTCCCGAAGATAATTACAACCTGAGTACAGCTTTAATGAAAATAAAAAAATGAGCATTGATGTTACTGAAAATTATATATTTTACTAAATACTACTTAAAAAAATCTCAGTTTCTATGCAGATTTTGGACCTCTGAACTTGGCAATGGTGTACAGATACTGCTGTAAACTAAACAAGAAACTAAAAGTGAGTATTGTGGTGATGTTTATATTTTGGTATTAAAAATTTAACCTGTGAAATCTAACCAGTGGGATTGCTGTGCACACACCGTTCAGTCAGGTAATCTTGATCTTCGGACATTTATGTGAGGAGTTCACCTAGAAGCTGAAATTGATCTCCCTGATTACCCCACAAAGGACATGTTAACCTCTTTCATTTTTCAGGATCAATGGAAATATGAGCTGAACGAAGTCACTGGAATAGTGATCTAAGAAAGAAAGCACAAATCCTTTCAGGTTGCTGTTCTTGAGTCTATCAAATTCCCTCCTAGGATGATTTTTCTGAGCCCTTCAGGTCGGCTTCTGGATGCTGTTACCAGGCATTGCAGGGGGCTGGCTCGTCACTGCACGGCAGGAGCTCTGGAACATAAGCTATCTCTGTCTGATCGAGATTGAAATTTTTGCCTGGTTCTTGACTATCATCTCTATAGAGTTAACAGCCAAGTGAGATGGATCAACTAGCGGTGACAGAGCATGGACTTTACCTGTTATGACAGAATTTGGGTCATACAGTCACTGTTCATTCATATTTTTGATTTTACATGTGGCTTTTTTTCCTTCTTAAATTCCAAGCATATATGAGGAAAAGTGACACCTGTACTCCTAGTTCTGGTAAACTTATTTCATCACATAGAAAGACAATTTTCTTTTTCTCTCAAATTTCTAAATGGGGATCTTAAATATAATGTTTCAGTTTGGAAGGTGAAATCTACCTCTTAAGAATAGCCACTAAATTATACTGCTCAAGTAGTTTAATCTTTCTGCTGGGTAAAATGTTACTGGTGTGACATAGTACAGTACCTTGTACATATTGCCTTCTTAGTAATAATTTTTTGATTTGATTTTTATTGTACTTAGGTATAAAAGACAGTCTATCATGGAGAATTTCTTGTAAAATACAAATGCACCATTTTTTTGCCATTGATCTCAAAATGCTAAATGGTCATGGAATAATCCCAAAGAGAGTTTTTTTTTAAGTAAAAAATCATATAAGATCTGTTGCAATCAACTTTTTAAGGAATTAATTTCCAAAGTATTGTCTGACTTGGAAAGATGTAGTATGTATATTCCTTTAACTAAACCAATTTACATCTTTCAGAAGAGAATTTACTATCATTCAAAAAGTAAGGTGAAATTTTTGTAATCACCAAGGAAGCAAATAATATCCTCAAAAGGATTTAATAAAAAATATTAAATGGACTTTAAATGGATGAATTAACAAGGAATTTGAAGGATTCATAAATAATTAAAATCTATTTCTTCCTTTTGAGGACCTGGGAATTTCTTCCCTTTCCTGATTAGTCCTGTTAGTGTGTAGTTGGTATGAACTGGGTATTATAATCAACAGTGTGAGACCCGTCTGCTCTCTAGGAGCGACCAAAGAGAAAGGAAGCATTTTTAGGAAAACATAGTTTCTGGTCTGACTCAGTGTTCTACTTACAACAATTACTTGAGTCGATGGATTGAAGTAAGACTATTTTTCTACCACGTTCTGTATTGAACAGAATGAGTAAGGGTATACAAGGACGTGTTTCGACTTGTTTTCATTTGCAAAACTTTCTTTCAACATTATCAAAATTTATTACAGTTCAGACAGTCCCCTCAGTTCATTTCAGTGATCAGGTGATCAGATGGATGCCTGGAATGAACGACAGTTTTAGCTTTAGTACAATTAGTGGGCCCCTTGTTACTTGCTGAGGGAATGAATTTTAAGTGTTAACCGGTCATGGGTTATCTCAGTGAAGTATACCAAGCAGAATGTCTTTATTAAGAGCCGAGGACTGACTTCACCGATTCAAGGCTGCAGTCACTTCAACCTTGTGGACTCTCAGTTCCTTCAGCTCTGAAATAGGGATCATAGAGCTCTCACAGAGAGGTGGCTAGGATTGTATGTATAGAGGTTAGAAAATATATGTAAAATATGTGTAAGAGGGCTTTGTAAATTTCGAAGTCCTATACAAGAGAAAGTTACTCAGGTAACCTTTGTGAATTCTGATAGGAAATACAATGAAGACAGTTCTTCAACAAGTTTATGAACACTTTCTCTGCCTCACAGCTCTCGTTTCCATACGAGAAAGCTGGCCTGTATAATTTCAGGAATCTAAATGACCATTTAGTCCAGCCTCCTGATTTCATAGGTGCAGAAAGGGAGGTCCAGGAGAGGCATGTGACTTGCCCACGGCTGCAAGGTAAATGTGGGGCCAGATTTCAAGGCCTTGGCTGCATTGTTCATGCTCTTCTCTCCACCTCCTCCGGGAGCTGCAGCCTCTGGTTTCTCATCCTCCTGTGCTCCCCACAGCATTGCCCTAACCTCACCTTGCAGTCCCATGGTGGTCTCAAAGCCTCTCTGCCTCTTTTTTTTTTTTCACTCCAGTGTCTATTCCTGCCACTCCCACTGCTTTGCTTCCAGGAACTCCAGGCTTTCCGATTTTGGATGTACCTGCCTTGTTACGCATCCCCAACATTGTCTCTCTTGTGTAATCCTCAGACCTTCAGTCTCCCTATTTTTTTAGGCTATCAGCTCCCTTCTGATGTCTCTTGTCTGCAGCCCACAGTCACTCATTTTGTTAAGACCTTTGGGCACCTTACTCCCATGCCTTTTGTCTTGCTCACCTTGACAACTCCCACCCTTGGCGTCTTCCCAGTGGGTGATTTCATTCACTAACTTACTGATTGACGGAAGATTGCAGTATCCCTGCCACTCCCAACCTTGCACTTTACCCTGAACCATGTCGCTGCTCTACACAATGGCGTGTGACACCCAGTCTGACGGGAATGCCCTTCCCCTCTGACTTGATAACGCTTCATCCTTTAAGACCTTGTTCAGGCACCACCACTTCTAGGAAGCATCTCTTTGTGCTTCTGGACAGGGCTGGAAGGTTGGAGGTGCCTCCTTTGTTTTCCCATAATTCTTTGTGCAGATACCTATTATTGATGGGTTATGAGTTTAATTTTATTTGAAATTATAATTTCAATTATAATTTGCAGTTTTCAGTTGCATCTATCTTTTTCACTGGACTATGAGCCCCAGAGGATGGAGGCATGCTTTATATTTTTGTGTTCCCAGGTGTCCAGCACAGGGCCACTAAGCACACAGAAATTTCTGTTGACCTTGTCATGATCCCCATGACTTTCAGATCCTCTTTTATCCTTTTGCCTCTAAGGTTTCAGAATAGCCTGCCTTCGGCTTGTGGACATCCTGACAACGTACCGACTTCTTCATCATTTGCTACCCCACCTTTGCCTTCCTTACTCTACTGAAACTGCTCTAGTGACATTGTAAACGCCAAACCTGGTGGCACTTACTTGCTCCTCAGACTTCTTTACTTCTCTGAATAATTAGCACTATTTTCACAAATAAAACTTCTTAGGATTCTTCTATATGATTTCGTAACACTTTTAGGTGCATTTTATTTTCTACTTTAGAAATTTTTATGTCTTCCAATTAAGCTTTCATGATTTTTTTCTCCTTTATTTGATACCTTATATAGATAGGTATTATTTTGCAGTACATTCTATTTCAACCTGAAATTTTGTATTTTTTTATATGTGAAAAGGTTTGTTATTCAAGTTGACTATTTGAGGTGGTGATTTATTGCTGTTTTTCCTGTGTGTGTCAGTATTCTGTTCCCAATGGCCTTCATTTTAATTATGTGAATTAAAATGGAAAATTATCCATCAAACACCTGTGTAGATTAAAAAACCAAAAACAGAAACCACTGTCAACAACCTTTTTTCTTATTTTAAGCTATACTTTAAAAAGTGTAAGTATTAAGAGTTATACAGTCATGGGTTGTAGTCTGCTATTTCTGGTCAATAATTACCATCATAAAGGAATCAGTCAAAGAAGGAAGAGTTATTGAAGTGAGAACAATTTGTAATACTGTGTATGTTGTTTAAGTTGAAAATGTCATCAGTGATTGATGGCCTAGGCCAAGAATTGTTAATCTGGTATTTCAAGGAATCCACAAACTCCTGAAATTGTATATAAAATTTTGTGTGTATTTACATTTTTCTTCTGAGGGGATTCATAACTTTTTAATAGGTTCTGAAAGGGATTTTTGGCACAGGCAGTGCTCCTGGACCAGAATATAAGAGTGTCTAAAAGAGAAGACTGTATTAATAAAAGACAAAGTAGTGGTATTTTGAAAAGCAGGACGCCTTCTTCAAGGTTAATCAGTTAAGGAAAATCTTTCAATTACTGATTCAATAATTTGAAAGTTCTATGAACATAATGTAATTGAACTGAAATAATATTCCTAAAATAATCAATGCAATTTTAACTGTTGATGTCACTTTTCCTGAGAGAAAAATGAAACTCCAGCCTGGGGGAAGAAAAGATCTAAGAGAATCACTGAAAAAAGGGGACGTTTTCTAGGGCAGTGATTTTTTTTTTTAATACCTGCTCTTATGACTCAACAGGACAATTACAGTAATCTTGGGGACTATTTTTAAAAGGCTTAAAAGAATATTGACAGAAATGTAATTTTAAACGTACAAAACATCCCACGTGGCCCTTTCAGGTTGAAAGGAGAAGGTGGGGGTGGGCATTGTGAAATGGACAATTGTATTAAAGCACTGAAAGTACCTGGCAGATGGTGGGGGCTCAGGGAATGTCCTTGTTGCTGAGTGAATCAGTGCCGTAATCCTGTCTGGTAAACCGGCACCTGCCGCGGGGTCAGGTGCTTGTACACAAGAACTCCTTTCATACAAGGATCAGACCACCCTCTTATAAACATGTTGAAGATTTCTTCATGAGGTTATCTTCTGTCTCAGGTTCATGGGCTCTGGGGGTAAGAAAAGCAAGCTACGTTCTGGGGATAGTTCATGTAATTTAAAGAGCTATCAGGGGTGTGAAAATAGCGTTAATTTCCATGGGAATGAGTGTACATAGAGTTTGCAAGGCATAAAATTCTCATGCTTGTTTAGAATCCTCGGGCAAGAAAACTCCCTTTTATAGAGAATCCCCAAATGCCTTCAACTGTATTATCAGCATGATTGAATAATCTTTATGAGCAACTTTTCTGACATTTCGACTTCCATTTTAACCAAAGGTGCCATTTCACTCATGAAACATACTGGGTTTGAAACAAAATGGACAGTAAAGAGAAACCTTTTTCTTTTTAAGGAAACTGTTCAACCTGTTTTATTTTAGCTATGAATAAAAACATAAACCATATTTTGTTTTGTGCAGCCCAAGAAAATTTTCAAGAGTATCCCTTTCCTGGGAAAGTTGGAGGTAAAACATGTAGAGGTCATGGCTGCTCACAGGAAGACCTGTTCATTGTATCGCTTTTGCAATGAGATGACCACTGATTGCTATGGAGACGCTGGTTGCTGCGGCCATTACTGGGCTAGCCTAGTCACCTGTAAGAGAATGATGCCCTGGTCACCATGGTCCCTGTGCTGTCATCTACTTAGTCTGACTACCATCACTGGCAGAGCTGGCTTGTTGAGGAAAATGCATGCGCTCTCTCTCTCTTTTTTTTTTTTTTACGAAAGAGCATATTATCCAGGCTGCACTAATGTCTTTCTTAGCTCAGTCAGGCTGATGCCCACAGCTTAATACAACACCACGTTTTAACCAAATGGCTCGAAGATTTTACTTTTAAGCATGGCAACTTTGCTGAAAGGCTACCCAAAAGATCAATTTCTTTAAATTGGCCATTAACTCTTTTGTTTTTGTGTCTTGGCTTTGAGCAAAATTGCATCACCTTTTGGTTTTGAATGATTAAGGAGTTTGAAGTCTCCTGACCTAAACTGATCAAGTGCATGATCTGTGTATGTCCCTGTAATCCAAGCATAGCCTGGGCTGTTTGTGATTTGCGTGTAGCATGTCATCATTCTCTCTCTCTCTCTCTTAGTTGCCGTGGCTTGTTTTTCATTAGGAGTTGACCCTGCCCCACTAGAATGCAACCTTTCACAAAGCTTTCCTTTCTGAGATAGAAGGTGTCCGTCTGGGGTCAGTATCCTCATCTTAATTTGTGTTTTTGTATCATAGTGGTCATTGTACTTTGGTTTACAAGTACCATCAAACATTTATATGCTATGTCATATATTTGTCATGATTTATAAAAGAGTGATAGAACTTTGACTCTCACTCAGGGAAGCAATACAGGTCTGGAAATTTCCATAGGTTTGATTGTGTTAATTGATAGCTATTCAATACTAAATCTCATCTTTTAGCTATAATTTTTTTGTTAAATGAAGCACTGTAATTAAGATCACTCCGTGGGTCCTTGCTGTGCTGTGAGTGCGTCCCTAGCTAGTTATTCTCTTCCATGTGTAATAAGCCCTGGCCAATATTTTCCCCTTGTTTAGCATCAAATATTCATCAGTGAGTGCTTATGAGTCTGGAGACTAGGGTTCCGCTCCCCTTGTTACCGTGTTGCTCAGGACTGTGAGGACTGTGCTTGACACACAACAGCTACAGCATGAATTCATGCTGATAGAACCAACAGAACTTTCTTCAGCCACAGTATCCCCACTCAGACTCAGCAAACTGATTCCCTTGGGCTGCATTCAGTCCACAGACATGGTTTTTTTTTTTGAGCATGAATGCTGTTTAAAAATTCTGAATTCATGGTCAACACTGCAATTTATGAAAATGTTTATTAAATTATGGATTTCTGGCTTCTTTTAAATATTGCAGTATCTGATTATGGGCCCAGATTCCTGCTCGGTAACAGCAGGTTGGAGCTAAGTTTGCTTTGGATGGGGCATACTTTTCTGGCTTACCCAGTGACCCATTTCAAATTCTCAAATGCCCCTAAGAGCATCTGAATTTGGAAACTCTGGAATAATGTCATTTAAGGCAGTTGAGTTACTAAATCATTATAGGAACTTTACCTGTAGGTGTTACCACCTGCAGTGCAAGAATTTACAAACTATAATAAAGTTTTCTAAGGAATCTGGGGAAATGTGTTTTTATATCATCCTTTAAAAAGTCATATGGCATGATTTGGAGTTCCTAAAAGAATTTGAATGTCTTTCGGGACTACCTGACCAGATGGGCAGTGTTTCAGGATCCGTATAGAACATTTGCAGGGTGGGACCGGCCTTAGTTTCATGCAGTCCCTCTCTGAAATTTAGCAGGATCTTAGCATAGTGCATTTTAGCACGTGGCCCTTGAACCGGCAGCATCAGCGTTAATTACCCAGAACTTGTTAGAGATGCAAATCCTTGGATCCTTTCCTGCTCAATCAGAAACCCTAGGGGTGAGACCCAGTAACTGGCATTTTAATAAGCCCTCAGGTGACTCCAAACCAATCTGTTAAGAGGATGAAATATAATACGATAATATAATAATACAATTTAGGTTGGTATTTAGTTTGTCTTTCATTTCTGTAAAGTTTTCATATTTTTGACCAATTCAACATAAGAATTATTTAAATTTTGAGCCATGAAACTTGTGATGGCCTTATAATTGAGAACTGAGGTTTACGCAAGCTCAGTGAGAGAGTTCTGGATTTCTCCCGTCTGCCACACTTGCTGAGAGCACTCAGCTCTCTGATCTGACCTGGGAGACATTGACCAAGTGTGGTAAGCAAGGCCCTCCCTGGCTCCAGGCTTATGTTCTCTTGCTAAAAGAGAGACACAGCATGCTGGTTATATTGCAGCCTTGCCCGGGACCTCTGGATTGGGAGTCACTCCATCTGGTCCAACTGGACCCCTCTGGTACGGTTCCACTGCTTTGAGAAATGATGCAATGCAGCAAGTGACCAATAAACATACTGTTGTTATTATTACAGAGGGCTGGCTGTGTCCACTTAGGTTAAGAAGACTCAGAAGCCTATGTACTCCAGTTTCCAGATAGAAATCTAAAGTATAGTGTGGATACTGGCTGCATGTTAAAATTCGTCATGAGTCAGGTGCAGCCTTGCTACAGAGCAGGCGGATATTCCAGGGGTCGTCGCAGTATTCCTTCCGTGCCATCCTCCCCTTTATACTTAGGACTATATTCATTTGTTTTACCAATTTCTAACTTTACTTTGCAATAGTTTACAATTGTACATAGTGTTTTTGTAATCTCTAAGCTTAGCTTTTCAGGTAAAGCAAAAAGAATCTGTGCTAGAGCAGGGAGCAAACGTTAAGCTAGAAGCAGTGGTCTGACTTTGTAGGTCGTCTCCACGAAGGGCTTGGCCGGCGCACCAGCCCGTAGAGGAGACAGGCCAGGCGAGGAAGAGGCAGCTGTCCAACTGGGAGGCATGAAGTTCTCCTGACACTGGGCAGAACTTGAGAACATGCCTACTGGGCTCATTTATGAAACAGAGTCCTATTGTCTGCAGACTGTACCTTCTTTTTTTTTGCACAGAAAGTTCTTCCATGAAAAGCTCTGGAAGGATGAACCGTTTTAGCCATCAGTGTCTCCAGTGGATCCTGTTGTTTCTTCTAGCGTGTTTTGGTGTGTACTAGGTAGTTTTTTGTTTGTTTTGTTTTTAAGTGAGGGAAGTGTTTAATACCCTGAAGGAAAAAAACATGAGAAAGCGTTTGTGCGTATCAACCCAATCATATAAAGCAGCAGCTAAACAATTGGCAGAAATGTTTTGTTATCCTTGAAATTTTTCATTCTAATAGCAGAATATCTCCTCTGTCGAGCAGTGTTGCTGCTGTAAGGCTGCAGCGAGCTGACCCCTGAGAAGGAGGCCTGGCTGTGGCAAGCACGGAAATTAGGACTAGGCTTGTAATAGCTAAGGTTTTTCTCTGTTATCATTCACTTTGAATTGGTTTTGATTCCTGGAGGGAGAACTCAGCTCTCTGTGATCGGACTTAGGAGAGCTGGCCAAGCTTCTCTGAGCAGAAGATCATTTCTTGACTGTAGTGCTTTTGGGACTTCACTGAGAAAAAGACTTGAGTGCCAAAACATCCAGGCAAGGAAAATGCTAGGAGCTTTGAAAATTTTCCAAAAAGTCAATGAGAAAACTCTCATTTAAAAAAGTCAATTATTGTAACATACAGTACAGTGACTATAGTTAATAGCACTGTATTGTATGTTTATGAAAGTTGCTAAGAGAGTGAATTCTAAAAGTTCTCATCACAAGGAAAAGATTTTTGTAGCTACGTGTGGTGAGAAGTTTTTTTAAAAAGTCAATTCTGTTTCCATTCTGTAGGCAGCTTCTAAAAGGAGATCTTTTAAAATAGTTAAAATTTCTAGGTTGATTTTGTGAAGAATATTCTTCACAAATGTTATGTGATTTCTGAAAGCTTATGAAGGTAAAAAAATAACTAAAGTCCTTAAATTTTTAATTTGTATTACATTTCCTTTAGAAAATGTACAGGTATACAGTGAAAAGAAAGTTTCCTTCAGAATTCAGTCCTCCAGCTTCATGGTTCCCGTTGCCGGATGGTTTTCTGCATTCCATGTACTTTAGAATTAGAGAGAAAAACAAAAAACAAGCAGACACAAAAAGTTCAATAACAAACCAACAATAAAGACCATTGGTGATAAAAGAACAGCAATACGAGTTTGTCAATCTGTTGGTGAGTGATTGTGAAATAAATTTAATTCCACATTATTAAATAGTTTGTTATGAAACCTAAACTCTTAGTAGAAAAAGAGCATCCAAACATATAATCCGAACTTCAAGGTAGACTGTTGGTATTTTCTTCCCAACAGATGTTTTTGGGAGCCAGGAAATAGAACTAGTGAGCGTCTGGGAGCCAGAAGAGCCGAGTCCTTGTGTTCCACCTGATTTACGTTAGTGGGGGGCCTGGCCACTGGAAGTCATTCTTCAGGTGGTTTTGGATTTAGAGACAGTAAAAGATGCTTAGTTCTTAAGAGCCTTGATTGTCCTTTTAATAAATCAGACCCAACTTATTGATGGAGATCAGTCACTGGCAGAGACAAACAAACAAGAAATGTCCAGCACTACGTTGAGAAAGCAAGTAGCCAAGTGTCAGCACCACTGACAGCAGCCTTGAGGTCTTTAGATAACTTCTATGCATTGACTGAACTGAGTTAAATAAAACGGACTCTTAAACTTTATTTCATAGAGGTATTTTAGTAAGCTTGCCTGGAAATAAGGACTTCGGTAAATAAGAGACCCGCTTTGAGGCAAACACTTATTTTTTGAAGTTTAATTTAAAAGAGCAATGTTATTTTCAGAACGTGATTCTTGGTTATCAAAGAAATGCCTGACTTCCGGTAGTAAGGGTTTCCAGGCTCACAGCCGAGATACATATAGCTACATTTTCTGTGGTTACATGTTAAAGCCAGAATGTTGCAGTTTCGAGTTAGACTAGACTTCAGAGTTTTGGAAGAGTTTCTTTTTCTTGCAGAAAGTGGCAGGGTAAATAAAGACATGCAGTTGAGTTCTTACATTTTTAAAGGGGCTCTAAAAGTAGATATTCTGTGGGTTGTGGTCGATGTGTAAGGTATAAAAAGCTGTTTTTATAGTCAGTGTGAATTTATTGATAAGTACTAAAATGTACTTATTTGTCGAAGTAGTGTAACAGTTTCAAAATATGAGGAAATTGAACAGATTTTGAAGTGCATCACATTCCCATTGTTCTATGTTTATTTGGGTTTTGATTAATAATTGCATTTCATTTTAACAGATCTTTTTATTTGTACCTTCTTGTCATGCTTAGCATGTATACAAACTACCATGTTGCTTATTTTGAATTCAGTTGAATACTCAAGCATGCAGAGTGTTGCCTGGCATATAGCATCTTGTGCTTAAGAACTGTTTGAATCTGTGGATTTAATATATGGCTATGTGTTAAGATGTTTGCTGATAAAATCTTTGTGATATACTCTTTGGTGATGTAATCCATCTTTTCCCATTAACCATCTATTTTCGGATAATTAAAAGGGAATTTTTATAGAACATTATAGAAAGAAAATATTAATATTGCTACTCTAGTTAATATAGACATTTAAAAAATTTTGGACAGGAAAACAGATTGGTTGACACATTTAAAAAAATGGCATAATATGCAAAGTATAGATAACTTTTCTGGGAGTGGGTATGATATGTAGGGAATGAAAAAGGACGAATAGACTTTATATATAAGATCAAGAATAAAGATTCAGAAATGGTTCTTGCTAATAAAGATGCCAGTAATTTAATTATTTCCCACTGTATCAGTCTCCTTTCTTGGAGAAAAACATATTTGTTCTCTTGTTAATTCTTGTATCATGATTGGGCTGTAAACAGTCTGAACTAGTAAGCCTCTATCTTGTGATACTTTTGTACAAATGCCGTAGAAATTAAAGTTGAAAGTTGTTACGTTTCACTGATTGCAGCACATCTTTGAAAGTTAAAGAGAAGACTTTCTGCATATTGCAACATTGTCTGTCTGGTTCCACTAACTCTTTTCATCCCCTCTTTTTAGTCATACAGTTTATCAAGAAAGAAAATAGTTCACTACACCTGTTTTGACCAACGGAAAAGAGCCAATGCAGCGTTTTTGATGGGTGCCTATGCTGTAAGTACTTTCTTCATGATTATTTTCTACATTCGGGCCAATGGGATGCAGACGCTGTCAAGTACAATCCAGACCACTTTCCCAGTGGAACTGGGAGATGGTGAAGATTATTAGCAGCTTAGGAATTGATCCGGGATGGAAAGTGTGGACCAGTACCGATGGACTGTTTGTGCTAGGGTTTTATTTTCCAGTGGCTGATGAGAGAATCTTGGAACTGCAGTGTGTGGCTTGGATTCTTGTTGTGTAGGTGTTTTAATAAAAAAGGATACCCAGGAAGGATATTTACAGGAAAATATATATATAATGGAAGATTATTAAAGGCTGTTGAAGGTCTCCTTTTCTTGGATAAGAGGAAATCCTTGATTGGGGAGGATTATTATCATCAATCCACTTACTCATCAATACATGTGTTTGCAATAAGCAAACTGAACGTAAATCCTGCATGTATTACAACTTCCCTAATTACTAGACACGACTTTTTGAAAGTAATTTTGATTAGAAATTTGGTTCCCTGTAAGCGCTAAAATGTACATGTGAGTTCCGCATAAGCGTGTGACACAATTTTGGTGTGAATATTTCTAGAATTTTCTGCATATCCTGGGGTTGGGCGGGCGGGGGAGAGGTCTTCCCTTTTTCCTTTTCCCTCTCATCCCCCGGGAGGGTCTGCGCTTCTCTGAAGCCTGGAAGCGCACTGCTGTGTGACCTTCCGTGGGCCTCCTTCTGAAGACCTTGACGGAAGGAGGTACCAACATCAGACTCTGCCACATCAAACCAAAAGCTCTCGGGGAGAAAGCCCAGCTCTGTTGTTGGAAAGAGCATCAGCTGCAGGGCGTAGGCTGAGCACAATGGCAGGCTGACAGCCGGACTGCGGCCCAGGCTTCATTTCCGGGATGGAGAGGTGCACTTCTGCCTACCTTTGCTCACGATGTGGCTCTGGTGAAGCCTTGGGCTGCCCTTGTGGTGCTTTCCTTTCTGGCTCCGTGGACAGCATGCTGTAGTACTTGGAATCGTGACTAAGAATCAGAAACACCTTTTCTTCATCCTGAAGTGGCTCTGGGAGGATGGGTAAGTCACTCTGCCTTTCTTAGCTTTACTTAGTTTCCTAATCTGTAAAATGAGAGGGTTTGATGTAATGACCTCTAAGCTTCCTTCCAGTTCTGAGGGTGCTAGGATTATTTGTAGCGTCAGCCAGGCTCTTGCTTTTATTTTTTAAGAGCCCACACAAAAAGCTGGCTGTTGGCATGAAGGTTCAACGAAGTGCTGGTAAGCTGAATTAGGCAGGCATGCTCATTTTCACTTTACTTTGATGAATACCATTCACTTGAAGCTGATAATTGACACTATGTATAAAATATGGAGAGTAATAACCCCTGGATTCCAGCCAGGTAAATAAGCGTGTCTTCCTGAGGGGTTTTGTGATGCTGTTGAGGGTGTTAATTCGTGAGTGTCCTTTGTCATAAGGGATTCCATCAGGAAGAGGTCCTGTGCTGCCCTCTCCTTTTCTTCTCCCTCCTCCCCTCCCTCACCCCTACTTTTTCTCCTTTTCTTCTTAATGCCTGCCTTTCCTGTTTTTAGTGTTGTCCTTAATTTCTGCGTGGCACCTTTGGGATTCTGGACGCAGATTTAGTTATAATAGATGTGCTGAACTTGGGGATAAAACACGTCTTCTAATGCAGAAGTTTCCACCACTTTCAAGCAGCCAAATGAAGGAATAGCAGTCTGAAGAGGTGCTGAGGGCAGCACGAGCTTGTCTTATGTGCTGGTTACAGTCCTGAGAAGCGGTGTAAAGCAGTTATTCTTGTATTGGTCATTTCCCAATTGATTTTCTTTTCTAATTTTAGAAATGTGTTGCCCAGAGAGCTTTTTGATGCAGCACTTAATAAAAATGAAAATCGAAAGTTATAATCATTCCCTAAAGAGAAGTTTGTGCCTTACTTCTTGTTACATGTATGCATTTAACTGCTGATTCAAGTATTTTGAGAAGACAGTCAGTAAAGGCATTATACACACATCTCCGCTAAGTTCCACGTATAAGGTATGAATACTTGCTTATTATCGCTTTCCTAGGCTAGAGGGTAGGGACCTTGTCAGTTTTGTTCATTGCTGTGTCTTGGAGGTGATAAAACATTTACCCATTTTGCTATTTGGATAAATCATAATCTCCTGGGGGAGTCTTCTTGGATATAAAGGACTTCTACCTTTGGAGCAGCTGCATAACCTGTGTACGTGTGTAGTTTTCAGGGTCCGTCGCAGTGAAGATCTTCCTCTTTTTTAAAATGTGGTATCAGCCCTTTATCATGGGGCTCTGACCTACTAAAAAACATTTTGTACTAGCACAGCTCTTTGTCTCTAGTCCATAATTTTTTTGTTTGTAAAATTTGTTTAGTGCTGAGGTTTTCTGGTCTACCTCACAGGATAATTACCAAGATCCAATATCCAACTGCCTGTTTGATAGCTCCACATTGTATATCTAAATGATAGCTCACATTTATTGTGGCAGGACAGAACTTTTTATCCCCTCTCTGCACAAACCTATTTATTCCCCCACTCATTGCCTTCTTAGTAAATGAACTGCCATCAGCAACTTGCTGAATCAAAGGATAGTAGTCATTTTGATCCTTCTTTTCTCTTCCCACATTATACTCATCACTAAGTTCTAACTCTAAAATATAGGTTGACTCAGAATGCTTTTTTCCATCTCTATTGCTGTCACCTAGTCCAAGTCACTGTCCTCGTTCACCTGGATGACCACCACAGCTTCGTACATTGTCTCCGTTCACACTCTTGCTTCCCTTTAACCCAGTTGCCACACAGTTGTCAGAGTAATCTTCTAAAACTATAACTTAGATCATGCCATTGCCCTGTTTCAAATCTGCACAATGATTGCTCACTGTTCTTGGCAGAACATTCAGCCTCCTTACCAATGCCATTAAGATCCTCCTTGATCCATCCCTATCTGCCTCTGTGATCTCCTTGCTCAAGACGTTCCCATCAGGCTGGCCTTCTAACCATGGAAATACCAAGCCTGTTCCCACCGGAAGGCCATCATATTTCTGTTCTCTCTGTCTGGACTGTTTTTACCTCAGACTTTTGCCTTTCTTCTTCCATTATTCTTCTCTCCTCAGAGAGACTTGCTCTCAAGCTTTACCTTGCTCCCCCCACCTTCATCACCCTTTGCTGTTTTATTTATTTATTTTATAGCACTCTGCTATTTGAGATTACATGTTTCATTTGTCTATTTACTTGCTTATTATCTCTTTCCTAGACTAGAGGGTTAGGGACCTTGTCAGTTTTGTTCACTGCTGTGTCTAGGAGGTGATAAAACATTTAACCAGAGGTTAGGTCCAGGCATTCGTCAGCTGAACTGGAAGCTGGCCACAGTGCAGCCTTCCTGCTGTGCTGAGTCATGGGGAAGTCTGGGTGGGGGTGTCCCAGGGAAGAGATGAGGTGGCCAGCTCGGAGGGGGCTGGGGTGCTGCTCCAGGCAGCGGCTATTTTCCGGTTGGTGTGGAACTATCTCAGTATCTGAACACTGAGCATCAGCTTAGAACAGTGCCCGGCCCATGGTAGATGCTCTCTTAATATCTACTGAGTGAATGAATAATGGAATGATAAAATACGAAAGAAAGAAGGAAGGTAATGTCCTTCAGGTAATTTCAGAGGGAGACTGAAAATGATCAAATTGGATATAAAATTTAAAGTCATTTCTTCCTTTTTACTAGAATATTTGTAGTATGACTGAGCCAACTATGCTCTTTCAAGATGCAGAATCAAAGTACAGCACAGGGAACTATATTCAATATCTTGTAATAAGCTATAATGGAAAAGAATATGAAAAAGAATATATATATGTGTAACTGAATCACTTTGCTGCATACCTGAAACTAACACAACATTGTAAATCGACTATACTTCAATAAAAAAACTAAAACCAAAAATCAGAGCAGATATCATAGACTGAGGGCAGTACCTCTTATTCAAGCAACATCACTACCTTACTTCTTCTTCTTTTTTTTGATAAATTTTTTCTCCAATTCTCTTTATTATGGTGAAATACACATAGCATAAAATTTGTTACCTTAATCGTTTTTCTTTCTTTTTGTTATTTTTTATTGAGGTATATTTGACATAACATTAAATTAGTTTCGGATGTGCAACACAATGATTTAACATTTGTATATATTGCAAAATGATCACCACAATAAGTTGAGTTAACATCCATCACCATACGTAGATGCCATAAATTTTTTTCTTATGAAGCATTTTTAAGTGGCTTGTTCAGTGGTATCAGTTACATTCATATTGTTATACAGCTGTCCTACCTTGCTTTTGAGTCTTATGCAGATATTAGGAACCTACAGAGTCAGGGCTTTGCCTGCGGTTTCCCTGTTAGATCATGACTTTATGTCCCAGAAGCTTTTTGTATTTCTTTCCTTATCTGTAAGTGAGGGAGAGCATTTTTATATTTTATCTCCCAGAGCTGTCACGAGTATCAAAAAGGAGATAAAACTTACAGAACATCATGTTCAGTAGGAAATCCACAAACCCTTCTCTGTGGGTGATCCAAAAGCCAGAGTTTTAGGATGACTGGCCACTGGCGATCACAGTGACACTTAACAGATGATAGGCACTCATTTCAGGGAAGTCCCCGTTCGTGAAGCATCTCTTTGTCCCTAAGCTGGGCTGTTGAGCTCCTTGAGATGGAGGGCTCAGATTTTGAGGTCAGATCAGCTTTGCTGGAAAGGCATTTCCCTTCCAGGACAATACATTGTGCTGTTTTGGAGTTAGGATGCTGGAATCATCATAGCATCCAAAATACTCTCATATGAATTTGAGGAAGATGGCCTTTAAAAAAGTACAAGCATGAATTAATTAGGTTCTTGCCAGATGCTGAAAGACCAGATCCTCACTGGTTTATGTTTCGTTTTCAGTTCATAGAACTATGGTAAAGAGGTCAAGGAGAATTTGGAGCAGGCCATGATGATGGAGGGATAGGAAAGT